TCAGCATCATCAATAAAGGACTTGAATGCAAGTGCTTGCTTAATAACTTGAGTATCTTCCAACCTAAACAATGTTGTAGATCTTCTTAAAGACAGTTCATTTCGCTGAAGGAAATTATCCAGCCAGTGTTGTGATGCTTTGAAGTCTTCGGGGGTTATGTCAAACTGTGGTGCCATTGCAAGGGCAAATTCTTGAATCTGAGCCCTATTCACAACCAAAGCCTCTGCTCTCCTGTCAACAACCCATTCACAGATCAGGTCTTCCAGCTTGGAAAATAATGATTGCCGACCTGACTCATACTTGCACTTTTTAGCATTTCCCTTGTCCACTTGTTCAATGAGGTTACCATACTCTGCTCGCCATTTTCGGACCAATCGGATACTCAACATCTTCTCTTTGCAGAAAGCAGTAAGATTTTGGCCCCAAGAGTCTTCCACGATTCCTTTCTTGTACTTCATGGAGTAGCTTTTTCTTTTTGTGCTCATTTCTAGGGGTAAAAAAAAGAAATTGGGGTATCAAGGTGGGGGGAGGGGGATCACTTAAAATGACACAGGGGAGATCAGAGGGGGGAATCAAAATGGCACAGGAGAATCAGAGGGGGGATTACCATTTTAGTAACCCCTTTTGATCCTCCTGTGTCATTTTGATTGCCCCCTCTGATCCTCTTGTGTCATTTTAAGTGATCCCCCTCCTCCCACCCCTGTGCCATTGAACACCTTCACCAGACATCCCCCCTACCCCTTTATCAGACATTTAGCCCCTGGTGCCTGCCTGAGGACCGTCACTGGGCTTGCTGGGGCCTGGATCTGGGCTGGAGCAGGGTCTGCCACTGACTAAGAACCTTCAGTCATCATGAGGGCGGCCGCGAGCATCAGGTAGTGTCACCAGAGACAGACCAGCACTCACCACCTTCACTGCATCCCATCCGCTCTAATCCTCCTGTTCTTCTACATGCATCTGCGAAAGTCTCCTCCTCTCTCCCGCCCTGCGCTCACCGCTCACTCTGACCTCCGCTCCCCCTCCACACAGCAGTGACATCAGGACTCCACGTAACATCACTGGTTGCTAGACACCAGTCAGGGTGGCCCTAGTGACCAGTTTACGGTAAATTAATTTTCATTCTAAGCCTAGGGGGGCCTTATTTTCTGGGGGATGCCTTATATTTCACTCAGAAGGAAACCTGTAAGTAGGTCTTATTTTCGGAGGATGTTTTATTTTCGGGGAAACACGGTAGATAGATGGATTACCTACTTACCAAAAGCTCGCATGTGTCACTCACCCATGGAGGTTAATTTTTGATCCAGGCCTTTAATTGCAGGCATTGCTGCCTAGGCATTTGTCCTGCTTTCTACATCTGGATTCACATTTGTTGATGGGCAAATAGCTAGAACAAAACCCTTTTTTTTCTTCTCCCTGCCTGATGCTTCCAGAACTAGGAAACTATTTTTTATTCTTATTTCTACATAAACATAATTATTTCAGTAATATCAATTAAAATGTTATCCTTGTAACAAGACACAATTGGAAACACTGCTTCTATCATCTCAACTGTGACTGGAATGCCATCTTTGTTCCTAGAATTAGGTGTCTAGAATCCAGCTTAAGGAACAGAGTTGACTTTAGGGAGCCCAGTTCCTGGCTAATAGGCTCCCCAGCCTTATGAGTTCAGCACTTCCTGGCGGGCCAGGCTCCTGGGGGTATCATGGGACCTCAGACATTCTCTATGTCATTTCAGTCTTTCCCCACAAAAACCTGCTGCGAGTGTCTTGCCTCTTATCCTCGGGGGCAATTGATCACACTGACTGACTGTTGTTTCAGTGAGAGGTGACCTTGACACAGACAAGGTCTGTGGCTATGGAACTGCTCGCTGCCGGAGGAATTGTAAGAGACAGGAATTCAAAATTGGATTCTGCCCCAACACTAACCCATGCTGTCTGAAAGGACGGATGGCACCTCATTGAATCCTGTGAAATACCCAAACCCACTGGGGCCTGGTCCCTGGACGCGCCAACGGCCGAACCTCAGAGCCTCCCCTTTATGAGAGCTGACAGCCGGAAAGCCTAGGGGCAGCCCCTGAGCTGGGTGTGAAAGGAGGGTTTGCTGAGACGCAGAGTGGGGCTGGCAGAGTGGGGCAGCAGCACAGCAGACACCAGGGCCTCGGCCTCCGGGCCCCCGACGGCCCTTCTCTCTGTGACAGGAATTGCAGCAATGCAGGTAAGCTGAGTCTCAGCACTGTAAAGCCTAACTAACATCTATCTAATCAACCACAGCCTCAGTGAGCATCGAGTGTTTTTTTTGTGGCTTAGTTATAGCAAATGATCTTAAAACATTGTTGTTTTTCTGATCAGAAGTCCTGCTCTACAATCATGTATGACTTTTGTTCTTTAATTTAGAAAATAAATCAATATTAAAGTTGTTTGGTAAACACTGGAAACACATCAACATCCTGGGAGGAAAACAATGTATGATGAGAAGCGTGCAGACTAAGGGGTTGACCCACGTGGATGTCTGTGAGTGTCACACCCAGCAGGTGGCAGCAGAGAGCACATGCCCTGGGCAGTGTTAGGGGGTTGCTTCCACTCACTGTCCCTAAGGAAAGGGAGTAATAGAACCTTTCTCCTGACTTTCCTGTCTAAACTGTGTCATGGTAACCAACAGATTTAGGACGAAAAGCTTCTCTCTGCAAAAGTAGCACAACTGATGAATGAAGTAAGGATAGAATGAGAATGTCACTATTTTGCAAACACCTAGGGGACTAATGATCTAGCCTGTAATGAGAACGACTGGCTGCGTGCCTCCTAGTAGACGTCACGCTGTCACCTGTTAAGCCCACCTATGCTCTCCCTGGAGCCACCTCACCAACCCAACTCATCCCTAGACAAGCCTCCTCCTGGATTATTTCCAAGAACACTAAAGATGCCTTATCATTTCCTTGGAAAACACTTCGGAATATATAACCCAGAGAAAAATGTAATCACAGTGCTATTTCCACACTTGGAAAAAAACTAGCACTTGCTTCTTAATATAACTCAACAGTCAGCGAGTGTTCAAATGCTCTCAGGTTTCGTAAGCGCTCTCGTCAGTCAGTTTCTGAGAACTAAGTCCCTAAAGGCCCGCATAAAGCCATTGGCCGTGTCTGAAATAGCCCCTCCCCCTCAAGTGTGATTGACATAGCCATGTTCATAATGACCGCTCCCCTCAGCCCAGACAAAGTCACGCTATTTTACAAACTTGCACTCTTTTAATTGTCATGAATTAATAGCAAAAGAACAAAGGCAGATTGTTCTAGTTTATTGTTTCCATAATTAGCCAGACATAGTTGACACGATGCATACACATTTGGAAACTCGCCAGCATTGCTGTGTCTTCATTCTGTTGTGGCCGGCAAGGCCTAGCCGAGGCAGGGCTCCAGATGGCCAGCAAGACCCTGAAAGGGCAGGGCGGGGCGAGGATGAGCTCCCAACTCCGCCCCGTAGGGCGGAGTTATCCCTAGCCCAGTCTGGGCATAACAACCCTATGGAGGCAGGACTCCAGGTCAGGGAAGGAACGAGCAACCAGACCCACAACAAAGAATGTAGCATAACTTTTAGTCATAAAATAGTTCTGATGCAAGGCTCAACCCCCAGGCATGCACGTCCTGTTTTCAGTAGCCGCAAGGCAGGACAAACAGACCAAACCAGGTCAAACAGAGACTGCTTAAGCGGAAAATAAACCCCCACCCCAGGTGTTGTATAAACTTTAAATGTTACTGTACTAGTGGAATTTTTCTATAACTTATAACTGACGTTTCTTTGTTAAAACTTTTAGCCAATCATAATCTGCCAGGCATCTCTAAGACAGGGATAAAAGTAGTATGCTTAGAGTGGGTCAGGGCTCTCGTTGCAGGGAGGTGGGGGGAAGACTGCTGGAGGAATGCATATAGACAATTATAAGAAAAAGGCAAAGTGGAGAAGGAGAAATAAGAATGGGTCTATAGCAGTTGGGTCTATAGCTAAAACCTTAGGAATACCATTCAAGTCTGTGGACAAATTCTACTGCAATTATCACACTAAATATTAATCTTTGGGGATCTTGAGTCACTGAAGAAAAAAGGCTTAGTAAATTCATAATAGATCAGCTCAGGTAAACTAGTGAGGAAGTGTATAGTATATGTTAAAATAATCTTCATCAAGATAATTTTTGAAGTGTTATCATTTAAAGGGGGAAATCAGCTGCTATTGGAAAAATGCCTTTCATAGACAAACTCATTGCTTAACAGTGATGGATAAATTTAGTCTTCTCAAATGTATTGTTTCCTTTTTTAAATGTTATCGTCAGAGAGATCTGCTTGTTTATTACTTGCTTAGCTATTTTTAATTATATGATTTGCTCCTTGTTCAAGTTGTTTATGAAAGTGTCACGATAAAATATAGTGACCTACAGAAAAATGACTTATAGGTCTAATTCCATTCCAAGAATTCAAGGGACTTTCCAAATTAATTTATTTGAATTCTGCTTGGAATTTGCAGTTCAGAAAAGAGAGACACTAATGTTTTTATCATCTATAAAGTTAAGGTTTCTAAGCAGATGACTTACGTTTAACTTCCAGAAAAAAGTATCATCAAGTTTTGTTACAGGTCTCTGTCCACAAACAAATGGTATGTAGTATATGACCTTACCGATCAAGGATTTTATTTGACAACAATCTTGAAATGATTGATTTGTTTTTCAAAGAGTCAGATGCTTTTTCCAACCCTCTGTCATTTCTTAAATGGATCTGGATTAGCGAGGTGTAACCACGTAATTTTAAATTCTTTGCTAACTAGGAATAGGAAATTTGTAAATGTACAATAAACATTCCGCTTAGTCAGAACGATTGAGGATGACTGTCAGGTGCTCAGCTACAAAATGAAATAAATTTACATGTTCAAAAAATAAAGCAAATGTCAGAAACTGCAGAGGAAGCAACTGTTCACTTGGAAGTTCCAAGAGAATTTACTCCATCAGTTATCAGGCCGGCGTCACCGGCCCGCCCTACGCCCGGCGCTTTGCGCCTGCGCGGGGGACGCTCTGGAGCAAGATGGCGGCGCCCAGCCTCCCCACTCCCGAGCACGGGCACGTGGGCCGGGGCGCCTTCCGCGACGTGTACGCGCCCGCGGAGGACACCTTCCTGCTCCTGGACGCTCTGGAGGCGGCGGCGGCCGAGCTCACGCGGTGCGAGTAGGCGAGAGTCCCCGTGGGACCGCGGTCGGGCGTCCTGGAGGCGGCGGCACAGGGCCCAGGAAGTGACCGGAGGCGAGGTCCACCGGGCAGGTTAACACCGGAAGCCGTCACCAGGTTCCCCCCCAGAAACAGTAGCGAGGGCGCCGGGGTTCCCTCGGGTCGGGGTCGGGGTGGGTATCCGGGCTACGAGCGCTCCGGGCGGCCTTCCGCGCCTTCCCAGCCACACCGGCCCCCGCGGCTCATTAACGCGAACGAGGAAGACGGGCCCCCGCGTCGCTGAGTTTACCCGGAAGCCGCCGGCGCCGGGGCACAAACCGGAAGTGAGGTTGAGATCCCAGGATGGAAGTGATTGTGTTAATTCTCCCTGGAAGATATTTTTCTGGTTGATTTTTAGAAAGAGAGAGAGAGGGAGGGAGGGAGGGAGGGAGGACAGAGCGAGAGAGAGAAAGAGAGATTGTAAAAACTTAGTTACCCGCAGCCTCCATGGTAGCACCTTACAAATAATAACACTGACCTGTTTAAATGCTCACTGTAAACTTTAAATTTAATGAGTGAAAAGAACAATGCCTACATTGTCAATTTTTTTTATTTTATTTTTATTTTTATTTATTTTTTATTTTTTTTACAGAGAGGAAGGGACAGGGAGAGAGAGTTAGAAACATCGATGAGAGAGACACATCCATCAGCTGCCTCCTGCACACCTCCTACTGGGGTTGTGCCCGCAACCAAGGCACATGCCCTCGACGGGAATCGAACCTGGGACCTTTCAGTCCGCAGGCTGCATTGTCAATTTTTTAAATGAAAGGAATTTGGGTAGTTAGATGTATTTAAAAATTAAGCCTTGAAGTGGCCTTTCTCAAGATGAACCAGCTAGGTGTTCATCCCTCTTTTTTTAAAAAAAATATATATATTTTATTGATTTTTTACAGAGAGGAAGAGAGAGAGTCTGAAACATCGATGAGAGAGAATCATCGATCTGCTGCCTCTTGTGCACCCCCCACCGGGGATGTGCCCGCCACCAGAGTACATGCCCTTGACTGGAATCGAATCCAGGACCCCCCAGTTCGCAGGCCAACACTCCATCTACTGAGCCAAACCCGTTTTGGAACATTCCTCTTAAACTTGGTTGGATTTTTCCATGTATAAAATGGCCCGACTATTATTACAAACTAGTTTTCATTGTAAACTATGGAACTTTTGGATTTACTGAAATCTAGACTAAAACGTTTTCTAAATCATGGCATGTCAATGATTTACAAGCACAAATTGGGCTCCACAGTATGCTGTACAAGAACCTAATTTTGTTTTAGAGTTTTGGATTTTTCTGGTATTGGAATTTTATTTATGCGGTCATAACAGCTTATTTAAAATATAAACTGCCTGGTAAGAGTCAGTAGACCTTCCTATAGCATAATAAAGGTTTGTCAGCTATGGGACTGGTTCCTAAAGTTAGGAACCCCAAATTCTGTTAGTGGGTAATTGGGGAATTGGGTATTAGTGAGACCCCCTAAATCCCACCAAACCTATTTCTGTAGTAGGGATACTTGGTGCTTTTCACACCAGATATGTATGTAGTTATAGGTAAGGAATTAAATTTAATTGAAGGACAAAATACAGTAGAATGGAGATACTCACTGGCAGCCTTAAGATTATTACTAATACTTTAAGATCAAATACTTCAATGTTTTCCCAATTTAGTATATAGTACAAATATGGAATTTCTTTGCTGCTCTAAATCTGTTATCTGTAGAATGGGGTAACTTTCCTTCCCTAGAATATGCTGATGGGTTTATGAATGTTAAATATGTTTAAGTTATAAAGAAATGTCTTTCATAAATAAATATAATAATCTAACTATCATTTTTGGAAATACTAAACTAGGAACTTCTCCTGGAAAGAATTGTCTTTCATATTAAAATGTCTAACCCTAAATTAACAATATTTCATAGCTTTTATGTAATATGCTGTAGAAATGAATTGAAAGCCAACTATTACTACATAGTAATAGACTACTATATTACTACATACTACATAGACTTAAACTACATACCCAAAATTTTAACAATTTTGAGCTGTGCACTATTAAATGAGGATAAAGCAGTTGTCAGAAAATTAACTCATTTATAAACTTACTTTATATTTGTATATTTTTGTGACATCCTGTACCTCAGGTGGGTGGTAATAGGGGAGAAATGGGTTAAAAGGAGTGTGAGAGTTCTTTTCTGTGATGTGTGTTTGCTGCAGCTGCAGTAATGGACTTTGTTTTGTTTAGAGTGGAGCTATGCCTGGAAGTGGGATCGGGGTCTGGAGTGGTATCCACATTCTTGGCCTCCATGATAGGCCCTCAGGCTCTGTACCTGTAAGTGTATGGAGGTCAAAGGCACTCAGAGATTCATTGTACATACTATTAGGTATTGCATGAATGAAATCATTTCTGTAATTAGATAATATGTACCTGATGGCATCTGTTTTAGTAAGAACTCAGAATGCACATGAACTTCCCTAAAAATTGTAACTGCGTGTTTTATTCCATCAGAATGGATAATTATAGAAGCTGCATAACAATTTTAGGTCATCTCTAAATTTGAATTTTTTGAGGTAAATAGTTTATCACAAATTAATTGGAAGTTACCAGAATTTCTTTTGAAAGTTCAGAATATAGAAATTATAAAGTTAAAAATTACCTATAAATGTTATCACATGTTTGCTTCAGTTTTTTTTCCGGTTTCCTATTTTTCAGTTAATATGGTATCATAAGCATTTTCCTTCCAAAAATTCTTTAACACCTAGTCAGTCACTGGTAACTGACACTATAATTTGCATCGAAACAGGCATGGCGCTTAATGGTTTAAATTTTATTTTTCATGGCTGTATAGTATTCCTTCATTGGATTCATAATTTAATAACTTCCTTCAGATGTGCGTGTGGTTATGTGTATTCTACTTTTGCACATTATCCTAGATAATAAAAGGCTAATATGCAAACCAACCCAACAATGATGTGCACTGACCCCCCTGGGGGCAGACGCTCAATGCAGCAGCTGCCCCCTGGTGGTCAGTGCGCTGGCAGCTGGGGTCACAGCTGACCAGCACAGTGGCTGTGGCGGGAGCCTCTCTTGCCTCCACAGCAGTGCTAAAGCCAGTGGGGAGCGGGCCTAAGCTATCACTTGGACGCTTCCCAAGGGCTCCCAGACTACACTGCAAGAGGGCACAGGCTGGCCTGAGAGACCGCCCTCCCCCCTGTGCATGAATTTTGTGCACTAGGCCTCTAGTATCAATATAATCGCCTTCTTTTTTAATCAATGTAATAAATCTTTATTCTTTTCCTACCATTATGAAAGTATTCATTTTTTAAAAAAATCTGTTTCACGAAAAAGGAATGGAATTCCTTGAATTTTTCAGACACCAATCTGTCCCCTGGGCATAGGATATAGTTCTTCCTTTTCTGTTGTAGGTGCACTGACATCAACCCCAACGCAGCAGCTTGTACCCTGGAGACCGCACGCTGTAATCAAGTCCATGTGCAGCCCGTAATCACTGATCTGGTGAGATGTTACTCCTTGCCCAATAATAATTAATTTCCTTTTCAGACAAGTTAGGGTCAGCAGGATTTAAGTCAAAGATACTTGAGTGATTAATTTTTAATCCACTAAGCAGTATATCTCACAATTTATAAGTTCTTGACTGATATAATAAATACTTTGTCCACAGTTCACGGGGGATTTCTGTTGACTTGTGTACAGCAGGCTCTGTCTGTCACAATGACAGAATCCGCTTCAAACTGGCTTCACTCAAGTGAGTGGTTTCAGGCACAGCTGACTCTAGGAACTCAACTGCCGTTACAGGCGTCCTTTTCTTGGGTCTGAACTTCTCTCTGGTGGCCCTGTTCCTAGGAAGTCCTCCCTGATGGTAGCAGGATACTTTCCTGTCTGCGTCTTATTCTCCTGCAGCCCCCATAGAAAGAAACCCCGTCCTCCAGCAAAAGCCCCAGAAGGACTCCAGCGTGGATCGGTTGGGGTCATGCGTCTTTCTCTCAGTCTAAATCCTCATAAAACAGTTCTCCTGGTTGTAGACAGTAAATACTTAGCTCAGAGCCTATAGCTTTAAAGCTGTGCTGTCTGTACAGGACAAATGTACCAATTAGACCTTCCTCCTCACTTCTAAATGTGCAACCACATGTCACAACGTGGCCTGAAGGGCTGTGTCTCCTGAACACCATCTTCATTCTGATAAATACTCTTATTTCCTTATTTTTAGGGAAATTCATATAATCTTTATCTGAGTAAAAATGTAAAAATATTCCTCTCCACTTCTGTTAATTAGTGTAGCTTGACACATTTTTCTTTCTAAAAATAGACATTTTTTAATATGGTTGATTTAATTTATACTCTGGTTTAAAGTCTGACAGTTGTTGAACATTTAGGTCAAAGGCTTGCTACCAAGACTGAAGGAGAAGGTTGATCTTCTGGTGTTTAATCCCCCATATGTAGTGACTCCGCCTGAGGAGGTAAGACATAACAGAATTTAATCGTTAATGCTGTCTACTGCTTCCTTTCTAAAGGCAAGCGAATTTCATCATTCGATGTCATCTGTGGATTAACACAAACTGCTCTGATTAAACTGACCCATTGCCGCCCTTTAAATTGCATTCGAACCGGGCCATGGCATTTAAATTCATGTGTGTGTAACTGTGTGTGTGCATGCCCTTTAATTCCCCTTAAATTCTCATAGGAATTCTTTTTGAAAGTTTCAGGTTCCCTCCTCTCAAGGGAGTGTGTGTGGGAAAAGGAGGAAGTTATGAAGGTAAAAGATAAACTTAGAGGTTAGATCACAGAGAGAGAGAGAGAGAGAGAGAGAGAGATAATATACTGGTGGTAGAGGTGCATACAGAAAGTTGTGGCTGTACTTACTAGTGTATCTAGACACACACGGGAGCTGTTGGGTGTGTCACTGATCTGAACAGGTAGGTCAAGGTCTGGTCCCGCTCAGAGGTGAACCCAGGCTGCAGGCCTGGCTTGACTCTTCCCTCCTGAGGGACACCTCCCTCCTCTGGGTGTAAGAATGTGGTTGGTGCCAGCTGATCTTCCCAAGGGCCCGTCCAGTGCGAGCACCAACACTGGCTGAGCATTCCTGGGGGGTAGATCAGCAGGGCCAGCCCAGAGGGCCTCTGTCCACCCGGGAACAGAATGGAGAAGGGCCTGGCCAAAGCTGCCTTCCCAGGCACCTGTCCGCAGACGCCGCACTAGGTGCAACATCCGGAAAGGAGTCCCCCGACGGGGAGGAAGGCATGAACCTGGAAAAGGAAGGAGTCCTAGGAATGCCAAAAGGGAAGTCTCTAGGAGGAAAGTTGGGACAGAAACAGGAAGGTGTGGATTTTCTCAGGATTCACTTTGTGGAAAGTTGTACATTGAGGAAGATATGAGAATAACTTAAATACAAATGAAATTAAGCAAGTGGACACATTGAATGTTCATCAATAACTATATATGATTATTTTCCATCATAAAATGTTATCCAGTCATTAAAAGCAAGTTAGAACTCAACTAGATTACATGAAGAGATTTCATAAGGTATTGCATAAGAAAAGAAAAATATACATAAATATACATAAAATTGATGATTGGACTATTGCCTCATTTTTTCCCCCCAACAGTGGGAAAATTAATTTTTTATCATTTTCTAACTTTATAATTGGAAACTACTATTTTCCTAATTTTACAGATAAGGGAGGAAATGAATTCACAAAGACTACAAATTTATACAAGGTCACAAATGCCTTTTGTATGGCAGTAAAATACAAAATACGTACTTGTTTGATGACTGTTACTTGTCAAAAAGATTAAGTTTGAGCATGGCTGGTGTGCATCAGTGGTTGAGCGTCAACCTATGAACCAAGGAGTCATGGTTCGATTCCATGTCAGGGCACATGCATGGGTTTCAGTCTTGATCCCCAGAAGGAAGCATGTAGGTGGCAACCAATCCATGATTCTCTCTCATCATTAAGCTGTTAACCGAGCGGGACTTATAAATACGTCAAACGTAAACAATATCTGGAACAAGGAGGACATATGAATACGTCCTTGAAATATATGTTGCACCCTGAAACAGACAGTATATATTTTTTGTAATCTTTATAATTGTTTGTAAAATTTATAATTTTTTAATTCGATGTTTCCATTTTTTGTTGGTATTCTTTTCTATTCGTTTTTAATTTTATATTTTCCTTTGTGCTTTATATATAAATAAACTAAAAAATATATATTTCATTTATTTTAATTAAAAAATAATAATAATATGAAATTACATCCACCAGGCGTGATGTACTGACACGTCCTAGTGAAAGAATCTGCGCCCGTTATACGTTGCGTAATTAAAAAGGGAACTCCCTGGTTAACAGGTTAATGTTTCTCTCCCTCCCCCCTCTTCTCTGAAATGAAATATATATATATTAAAAAAAGATTAAGTTTGTGCCGAAATCAGTTTGGCTCAATGGATAGAGTGTCGGACTGCGGACTGAAAGATCCTGGGTTCGATTCCGGTCAAGGGCATGTACCTTGGTTGCAGGCACATCCCCAGTAGGGGGTGTGCAAGAGGCAGCTGATAGATGATTCTCTCTCATTGATGTTTCTAACTCTCTATCCCTCTCTCTTCCTTTCTGTAAAAAATCAATAAAATATATAAGAAAAAAAATGATTAAGTTTGTGATTCTGAACGTAAGTTGAGTCAAAACAATCTTTCCACTGGTCACAGGTAGGAAGTCATGGAATAGAAGCAGCGTGGGCTGGTGGCAGAAATGGTCGAGAGGTCATGGACAGGTTCTTCCCGCTGGTTCCAGATCTCCTTTCTCCAAGAGGGATGTTCTATTTAGTCACCATTAAGGAGAACAATCCAGGTATGCAGACCACTATCAGACTGTACTCTATAAAGTCACCTGGGATGGTAGTATAATCACTGACGACCGATAGTGCGGAACTCATGCTGGAAGAGGGATTGTAAGAGGCTGGTTTGGGTTTTTAAAAAGGACCGTCCTGCGGTGGGAATGGCAGTTTCCTCCTAATTCCTAAACTAATTCAAACACAAAACCTTTTTTCTTCAACACTTCACCCTCCATGTTGTGAATTATCTCTCCTCTGGTCTTCATGCCCTTAAAAATTCTGCTGTGCACATTTAGCTCATCTGAAGTTTTATCATGAAAGTGATCTCATGTTATGGATGTTTATGCCTTAGCTTTCAGATTGATTTGTAACTACATTGACCATGTACACCTCAGGGTTTGATTTTTTTATGTTTTACCTATATCCTCAGCCCTTCAAATCACATTATGATTACTAGGTTTTTGTTTTTTGTAACTCCATTTTCTTAGTTCAGTCTTCAGTGTTGTTTGTAAAAGGGAAGGTTTTTTGCTTTTTTTCAATGCACCTAAATGAAATGAGCTATTTTTTTTATTTTTATTTTTTTACAGAGAGGGAGGGAGAGGGATAGAGAGCTATTGATAGAAACATCGATGAGAGAACATCGACCAGCTGCCTCCTGCACACCCCTTTCTGGGGATGTGCCCACAAGCAATGTACATGCCCTTGACCGGAATCGAACCTGGGACCTCTCAGTCCGCAAGCCGACGCTCTTTCCACTGAGCCAAACCAGTTTCGGCGAAATGAGCTATTTTATTTACTATCATTGTCCCATGTTACTGTACACTTGGTCCAAATCTTCATTGTTATTTTTTATCCAAAGGGAAGGATTTGAGCAGAGAATGGAGCTAAACAACTAAAAATCTTATTGCTGTAATAACAAGGGGCTCCACTGCAACACAGGCCATTCAGTCTGGCTAGAATTCTCAGTATCACCTGGAGGGTACGAGTGCTCCCACCTTTGTCAAGTCCAAATTCACCGTAGTAGAGTCCTACTTGGGGTGCATTGTTTTCTCAGATGAATATAATTTATAAATAGTCTGTATATTATTTATTAAACTGTTTAGCTATCATATACACTTCACCAAATGATTTGGTTGAATTTTACCTTTGTTTTAATTTCCATTTTAGAAGACATTTTGGAAACAATGAAGGTGAAAGGTCTTCAGGGGACCACTGCACTTTCCAGGCGAGCAGGCCAAGAAATCCTTTCGGTCCTGAGGTTCACCAAGTCCTCGCACGCTGTCTGCTCCCCATTATAGTGAACTAACAGCCCATCGCCCGGTACCACGCACAGCAGGCTGCCCCCCACTTCCGCAGGAGCTGGGAAGGAGCCGTGCTGCTTCTGTGGGAGACAGGCCCGCCGTCTCCTCTCTGGGCTTGTGTTCGGCTGTGGGCTGGCCCCCCGTTCCTGTCCCTGTCCATGTTCATTCCGGCTCCAGGGGGCCATGAGCCAGGGCTCAGCACAGCCCCTTGTCTCCATCTCCGTTATGGGCCTCACCTGCGTGCACAACATCCTCCTCTCTGGTTGTGACCCATTGTGGTGTCCTTGGCCTAGTTTGCATATTCTCTCTCTCTCTCTCTTTTTTTCCAGCGTATGAGACGACTTTTGAAACGAAAGTCAACCGAAAGTCGGGGCTCGTCTTATACGCCGATTTATCCCGAAAATAGGCGAATATAGGCCTAAACCTATGTTTTATCTGTAAAATTAGGGGGTCGTCTTATACGCCCGGTTGTCTTTTTCGATTGACTTTTTTTCGTTTCAAGAGCCGTCTTATATGCCGGAAAATACGGGGGTGTGTGTGTGTGTGTGTGTGTGTGTGTGAATAAAAATATGTATTACATTGAATATACATATGGATATACTAGTATATACTGTGTGTGTGTGTGTGTATAGATTGGCTGAATGTATTCACCATATTTTGAAACTGAAGTAATTTTTGGTTAACAAGTAAAACTCAGAAATTCGTCAAATAGAGAAAGGTAAGAGGGCTGGGCATCATCTTTCACCTATGAATCAAGCCTGCAGACATACTTACAGGAAGTGCAAGGAAATATGTACACTGGGTATACTTGGTGTTTACATATAAAAGAGAGTTATATGTGAAAGGCCATCATTTCAGCATTGCCTAAAACAGCAAAACAAGGAAGTCAGCCAACGTGCCATCACCAAAGGGGTTGGTAAAGTAAGTTACAATATGCCCAGGATCCTGAATGAGTGACATCTGGCCATCAAACGACTCGGATGTGTATGGCCTGAACCAGAGGGGTTCATGACATACTATTCAGTGAAAGAAATGTTACAGGACAGTATTGTCCCGCATGTTTATTTTTAAAAGACCCACAGAGGGTAGATTGGTGCATATAGAAGTCTCAAAGACATCAGGTGGGAATGGAGGAACTTTTGCTTTTTTGTAGCAGCATTTGTACAAGGATAATGTATTATATAATTTTAAAAAAATTAATTAAAAAAATTTTTAAATATACTTTCACTTGTATTCATTCTATTTATAAATTATAATTTATAGTGGCCCAGTGCATGAAATTCATACACATTAAAAGAGAATTAGAGGAAATATATTGCTATTTGCCCTTTATAATAGAAGTGTTGAAATGAAAGAAAATTAGTAAAATGTATATGAAAATCATCCTCTTGTCAGAGTCTGGGGCCTGCCCCGGGACCCAGAGTCAAGTCCCCAACCACCAGTGCGCGCTTCAAAATCTCGAGACCGAGACCCAGACCCAGCTGGACCCATCCCTATTGGTCAAGATCCAGACCTGGCCAGCCCCACCCCATCAAGCCCCACCAGGGGGAAAGGGGGAGTGGGGGATGGGGGGAATGCAGCCTCAGGTCCCTTGACCTGGCACCAGGCAGGGGGCACAGCCTCAGGGCCTGTCAAGCCCCACCAGGTGGGAGGTGCAGCGGGTTGGGGCGGGAGCGTGTGTGTGTGTGTGTGTGTGTGTGTGTGTGTGTGTGTGTGTAGCCTCAGATCCCCTGGTGCATGTTGGGCAGGGGGCATGGCCTCAGGTGCCCCAGCACACCCTCAGGTCCCCTGGCTCAGCACTGGCGTAGGGGAAGCAGCCTTCAAGTCCTTTGTCAAGCCAAGCAGGGATAGGTGGTGCAGCCTGAGGTCCCTGCTGATCATTTGTTATGGGAACCCCACCTCCGCTGTCGGTGCAAGCCATCTTGTGATAGCATGAGGGTTAATTTGCATATTACAGCTTTATTCTCCTCCTCCTTGGTAATATTTTTTTCCCTATCTTTTATCCTTTACCATATATTTGTTTTCTTCTTGCATAGATATTGCAAATTGCTATACATTTTTTCTTAGACCAAGAATTATATGCAAACAGAGGCCTGATGCACGAAGATTCATACACTGGGCCTTCCTTCCCCTGGCTGCTGGCACCACCTTCGCTCCAGCCGGAGACACCTTTCCATCTTCCCCCGCTGCCAAGGTATGGAGTGATTGGGGTGATGCGGAATGCCTGCTGGGTTAATTAACCCTGTTGGGTTAATTTGCATACTCCTCCTGATTGGCTGGTGGGCTTTGCGAAGGTATGGTCAATTTACATCTTACTCTTTTATTAGTATAGATAAACTGACCACTCAAGTGCAGTGGAGGAGATGCCTATCCAAGAAAAGTCAGAAGAACAAGGGTTGAGGACTCTACTCTTCAAGATTAATTTAAAAAAAAAAAAAGTGTAGAATTAACACAGATAAATAGGTCAGTGGAACAGAACACACCCGGGAATTTGGCAGCACGAGAAGGTGCAGGAACCTGGGACGAGATCCCGCTTCCTGCACCTTGTGATGCTGTGAGAACTAGCTATCCATATGGCTCAGGAGTTCCATGGTCCAGCACTCCAACATTTAATTCCAGGTGAATTAGGCATAGAGTTTTTTTAAGCCCTGGGGAAAGAACAAAACTAAATCTAACTGGGAAATTATATACAATTAAAGAAAGCCACAGACCACATTGTAGCCGAGCCCCGACCAGTGTGGCTCAGTTGGTTGAGGCTTGTCCCATGCACCACCTGTTCAATTCCTAGTCAGAACACACACCCTGGTTGTGGGCTCAATCTCTGGTAGGGGGTGTGCAGGAGGCAGCTGATGGATGTCTCTCTCTCTCTCCCACTCTCCCTTCAATAAAAATATTTTAAAAGTCAAGCCCTGTACTTGAAGAAACCTTGTAATAGATGAACATTATAATCAATAAGATAATAAACTTACAAAATAATGACCAATAAAGAGATGAAATGAAGTCTCTTGGTGGACAGGTAAATAGAAATGAAGATGAAGACCTACCATCTCACAGCTGCCCAGGGGAGGAAGCGTCTTGTGAGACTGAGTGCTGGAGAGAGGAGGGAAAGCAGAGGTCCCTGGTGCACACCCCGGGGAGAGCAGCCTGAGCCCACCGGAAGCCACAGAGCAGGCAGCCCCCAGCTGCAGCCCCTTTGGGGCATTTACCCAGAACATCCAGCACATTTGCACAAGAAAACACATCAAGAATGCACACAGGCAGCTCTGTTAAAAATGGCCACCAATACCAATCGGGATGACCGGTAGTGGGGGAACTGGTGAGTGCACGGATGTAATCTGACCCTAAAAAGTAGTTATATTGAGTTAAAAAGCAAGTTATGAAATATAATATAAAAAAGGATATCACAAATATGAACTTTTAAAAAAAATAACTGTATATTGTTTATGAACACAACACGTGATAAAGTGTAAACTCTCAAATAGGAAGGAGTCCCACCAATTTCAGTTTAGCTCCAGGGAAGGAGAGGCGAGGCCTCAGAGAGGAGTACAAGAGAGTAACATTTTATTTCTTTAAAAATTAGAAGCAAATGTGGCAAAATAGTCTGTGAAGAGCACAAGGGCTTTATATTATTACTCTGTATATTTGACATATTTTGTAATTAAAAAGAATTTTAATGGGCACATATGGCATAACAAAATAATAAATTATTATTCACAGCACAAACTAATTTACTAATAACTTAATTATTTAAACTATGGAAACTTATGTACATACATTAGAGCATGTTCTACAGAGAGTTAAAAATAAATCCTAAAATTTGCAATTTACATTAGGGTTTTAAGTTAATAATTTTGCTAATGGACTTTGAATCTCATGCACGTTAAAATGTCCCTACGCTATAATATAAGGGGTGTTCTCTAGAGTTGCCAAAGCTACAGAAATAAAACTTTATTAGTGTGGTACTCTGAACGCCAGTCTTCTTTGGAAAGCGCTCTCCTCAGCAGGGACCAGGAACAAGCACTATGTACAGGTGCATGTGCAGCTCGCGGAGACGGCGCGTCTGTGTGAGGAGTGGTGCCCACTGGCTACAGGCTGCACAGCACAGGGCCGAGCCAGAAACACTGCTCCCTTCCTCCCTCCCTCCCTCCCTCCACTTCCTGCCTGGGGTTTGGGTCGGAGGCCGAGAAGTACCAATACTGGAAAAGTTTTATAAAACAACCTTTAAAGAAAAAGTGTTCCTTTGAAAGAGAAGTAGAGAGACCTGGGAAGATTGGCCGTTTGAAGAGGGTGAAGAGGTAGTAGGGTTTTGCTATCTGCACTTACTGAATCTCTGAGCCTCGACGTGGTAGGATAACAATACTAAGAAGAAATTCAGGAGACAGACAGAACTGGGTAGAACTCTGCACCTACAAACACAACTCCAGAGATTGAAACTCACGTAATGTCATCCTCGGCTACAATACTCTGATCACATTCATACTATTTCAACAATAACTATTTGGTGGAGAGCGGCTGTTTTATTAACATGAACTGCTTTTGCCAATTAAACATTTGCAAGAGATGATTAGTTGATCTTTCAAGTGACCTGGCTGCTAGATATGCTAAGATTCCCCAGGGATGAAAGACTGCAATGAAATTATTCCAAGTTCCAAACCTCACATGTTCTGTTTTGGGCACATTGTTATGGTGACACTGCTGTGACAAAGGCAGGTTTCACTCTGCTCCATGTCAGCCTGTCCTATTCCATGGTACTTTGTACTGAAATCCTTAACTTGACTGGAAAAGTTAGCTTCCTCAAATCTAATTTAACTTTGGCAGTATGAAAAGCAAAATTCCCTTACAAAATTGAAAGTCTTCTACAGCATTTAATTTTTTTTTAATTTCCTCCATCACCAATCTCAAGTTTCAGAACGACTCATTAATTTTCTTCCTCCCTCTCACAGAAGGCTAAATGCCACTCTGCTTCATGAATAAAGTAATCTGATTCCTGTTCTCTCAAATTCTCACGTAACTGAGTAATAATTCACGGACAAGTCTACAGTTCAAATGTCACTGGCGCACTAGACAAGTCTACAGTTCAAATGTCACTGTGGAACCTCTTCCACAGCAAAGCTCCGTGGCAGGAGTTCATCCTCTGGATTTCAGAGGCCCTAACAATGAAGGCCAGGAAGGCCTGCTGCCTTGCTGAGGGAGGACTGCAGAGCATGCTTCAAGCAGCTCAAGATAAACTATATTGATAGCTTAGTCATTTTTATCATTCATCTACAAATAGCAAAATGCTAATTTTGACATAACTAATAAATAAGTCTTAAAATATCGCTAGGTATAAATCATCCCTCTCAATTCATTTGTCTCACTGGACTGTTCTAGAACATAGATCAATGCAAATTCCAAATCTGTAATTTAGGGGTTTTCCATATTTACTCTTAAATATACAAAGAGATTAACTATTTTATAAATATTTTCTCTCAAAGACGTAATATTCATATATAATATCCGTAAGTAAGAGAAACTGTTACAAACCAACGTAAAGGTAAGTAGACCACAGTGCAGGGCCATTCCATTAACAAGGGCCCTGAGCAGGCTGTTGAAGTTCGCTCACGGCCTCCGCACAGCGCTTCCGGGCGGCCCGCCCACTGCCTGTGCTTTCCTTCAGGGTCGCTTCCAGGGGGAAAGGTCTCAGAAGAAGGTCTCACGACAGAGTGGACAAGTGGATTTGTTGCTCGACGTAAACCATTTGTACTGAAAAAGAAAAGGTTTTAAATGTTCAAAGAACTTCTCAGAGTTGTTACGTTACCTCTACATCTAAAGGTACCTTGAAACGATTCACTGAGAAAGGCGGGCCACTGACAGCTCCTCCCATTCGTCTCCAAACCACCACTCAGTGTCACTTACAAAGCTACAGTGTGGCTCTTCCCAAGGCTCATGCACACACGGCTGAGACCGGCCAGGAGCACCTCCAAGCAGCTAATGTCCATGTGCCCTTTAGGAAGAGCCAAGAGTGCCCTGGCTGGCATGGCTCAGTGGCTGAGCATCAACCTACGAACCAGAAGGTCAGGGTTCAACTCCCGGTCCTGGCCCTGCACATACTCCGGTTCTGGGCTCAATCCCTGGGTGGGGTATGCAGGAGGCAGCCAATGATTCTCTCTCATCATGGATGTCCTGTCTCTCTCTCCTTCTCCCTTCCCCTCTGAAATCAATAAAAATAATTTAAAAA